TTGAGTGTATTCGCGTTATGTAACGCCTGGCCGCTCCAAGCATCTATGACTATCCCAGACACTAACACGAGACTTTTCAGCGTGCTTTGTCCTCACTCGCACACTTTCCGAGAAACTTCCCAGGAGGTCACCCATCCCAGAATTACTGCAAGTCAATCACGCTTAACTATGGAGTTCTTCCGTTCTGGGCTATCGAAAAGTAGATGCATCTTGTTAGTATAGGTAGTACCAATTAATTCTTATAAGCTATCCTCAACTGTGCTGTCCTATACTAGCACAGTCTTTGGAATCCCTCTCTTTCGGGTGTTGATTCGATTCATTCATGTACCCCCATCGCTGGAAGCCTTCTAGGAGCCGCTCCTTGTCTGTGCCCTTGCACATATCCTTGTCAGCGCCAGGGATGTTACATGCCCACCAGCTACCGCCTGATTCGTCCTCGAACCACATCGTACTGGCAGAGAGGCCTGCTCTGATACCACTTGTAACCCCTGTTTATTCAAAGATATGCCACTCTGTCTTTTCAAGTATTTAACACTATCATTACAGATTTGAGTTTCTTTAATCTTCTCATGCAACTCATTTTCAATTCTAGTCAACTCAATGTCACAAACCCTACCTGCAAAGAAATCCTTTATTTTCAAATCCCGTAACTGCTCAATCACTTCATTATCCCACATCATCATATGACATAAATTGACAGACTTCCTACTCAAAGCATCTGCCACCACATTAGCTTTACCCGGATGGTATTTCAGTTCAAAATCATAATCCTTTAAGAATTCAACCCACCTCCGTTGTCTCTTGTTCAGCTCTTTCTGATCAAACAAATATTTCAAGCTTTTGTGATCATTGAACACAACAAATTTCATCCCATACAGAAAATGCCTCCAGATTTTCAAGGCAAACACAATAGCAGCAAGCTCCAAGTCGTGCGTCGGATAATTCTCCTCATGAGGCTTCAACTGCCTAGAAGCATAAGCAACAATTCTCCTCTCTTGCATCAGAACACTTCCCAAACCTTTCTTGGAAGCATCACAGTATAATTCAAACTCACCTTCCGGATCGGGAAGAGTCAACACAGGAGCAGTAGTCAATTTTTCTTTAAGAGTCAAAAAGCACTCCTCACATTCCTGGGTCCACACAAAAGGAGTATCCTTTCGTGTCAATCGGGTTAACGGCAGTACCATAGCAGAGAACCCCTGTATAAACCTGTGATAATAACCAGCAAGACCCAGAAAGCTCCTGGTCGCAGTTACAGTCTTGGGTCGTTCCCAGTCACTACTGCTTCAATCTTACTCGGATCCACAGCAACACCACTAGCAGAATTCACATTTAGACGGCTTAGCATATAGCTTCTTATCTTTCAACACCTGCAACACAGTCCTCAGATGATCCGTATACTCCTCTTCACTCTTGGAATAGATTAAGATGTCATCAATGAACACAAACTGATCCAAATATGGTTTAAAAATACGATTCATATAGTCCATGAACATTGTCGGGTCATTAGTAAGCCCAGAAGGAATAACCTGATATACAAAATGTTCGTATCTGGATCGAAACGCCGTTTTAGGCACATCCTCCGACTTAATCCGGATCCGGACCGGAGATTAAGCTTAGAAAATACACAAGCACCCCTCAACTGGTCCAGAAGATCATCAATTCGTGGCAGAGGGTACCTGTTCTTAATCGTCACTTTATTCAACTGCCGGTAGTCAGTACAAAATCTCATGCTACCATCCTTCTTTTTCACAAATATTACAAGTGCTCCCCATGGAGACACACTCGGTCTGATAAAATTCTTTGCAGATAGTTCCTCAATATGTTTTCTCAACTTAGCCAACTCCAGTGGCGACATCCGATATGGAGCCAAAGAGATGGGCCCCACACCAGGCAACAAATCAATAGAGAACTCAATCTCTCTCTCAGGTGGAAATTCTGTTATCTCATCAGGAAATACATCACCAAATTCATTAACTACCGGAATGTTTGAAATTTCTTCTTCCTTGTCAACAAGAAGTCCACCCAAGAAAACATAACCCAAATCACCAGCCTTTAAGGCCTTAACAGTTTGACAGACAGATAAGGAAACAGACAAACAACAGACTTCTCAGGAGATAATATCAACCTCTTTCCGCAGCAATCAATCTTTGCGCAGTTTTGAGACAACCAGTCCATACTGAAAATCAGATTAACAGAGGCCAGGGGCAAGATAATCAAATTAATAGTGTAACCCCTGCCTTCATAGACAAACTCAGTATCTCTACAAATAAAGAAGGAATCACTAACCTCTCCCGTAGTAGTAGTAATATGCATGGGGGAATCATCTGTGTTACCTTTAAATTTAACCCCTTAGCCACATAATCCACAACTAACGAATGTGTCGCTCCCGAATCAAACAAGATAGATAAATCAATATTAGAAATGAAAATTATACCTTTAACCAGATTCGGTGCCTTCTCTGGCTGCTATACATTGTCGTATACACTCGTTCCACAGTAGGAACAAATGGCAAGGCCTGCAGATTCGCAGCCGGCCCAGTATTGCTATAACATTCCCGAGCATAGTGTCCAACCTTACCACACTAAGGAGCAGAATTCCTATCATTGAATCCACCCCTCTGACACCACCTCTCTTGAATTGACCAGGAGGCTGCCTTACCCGCAACCCCCTATCTCTGTTATTATTATTATGATAACCACCTTTGTAGTCAGAACCAGAAGGACCAATTGTCCTCTTAATCTCTTGATCCTTAGCGGAATTAGACTTGGGATACCTGCCATATACAGCCTCAACCCTCTTGGACAGGGTCACCAAGTCAGCAAAGTTCCTCACCGCAGTGTTTGACATGCGTTTAGCTATTTTCTCGCATAATCCCCTTTGAAACTTTGCAGATAGAAATAATCATCCACAGACATAGAACCCTGTACCAGTTTATCAAATTCGCCCTGCTTGGCTTCTCTGACATCTCGGAAAAAATACTCTTCATGGAATAAGCTCTCAAACAAAGCCCAAGTAAGTTCTTCACCTTGAATAACAAAAGGGCGAGATACATTGCACCACCACTCGTGGGCATCACCCTCCAACATATAAACAAAATACACCAACTTCTGAGGATCCTGGCACCACATAACCTGAAATATTTTATCCATCCCCTCAGCCAGGTAGTAACAACCTTCAGGTCCTTTGACCCTTGAAATGTCGGAGGTTTATGTTTTCTAAAGGAAATGAGTCTCCGCTCATCAGCAACACCAGCATCAAACTGTTCAGCAACCCCAAAAGTCTGAGCAATGAAAGTAGGATCAACAGTGGGCTGACTAGCCTCACCAGTATGATGACTAGCCCCACTCTCCCCCTGCTGGGGTGTAACAGATGGCTGACACGAGCTGTCGAACTCGCGCAAATTAATTAAATTAGGTTTATTAAAAATTTGTAGTAAAGCGTCAACCTAAGTCGTCTCTCAAGGAGTTTGCAAGGATCTTAATTGCTCAATTATGAAAATAAAAATAAAAATAAAATGAAAACCAAATGAAAACGGAAACTAAATGAAACAAGAACTAAATAAAAACGGGAATCAAATAAAAACGAAAACCAAATTAAAATGGGAACTAAATAAAAGAGAAACTAAGGAGAAACGAAAACTAAAGAAAATTGGAAACTAAAAGGGGTTTTTTTTTAATATGATTGTCAATTTAAACGGAAATAAAAAATAAAATAACAAACGAGAATAATCAAATTAAAAGTAACCAACCCAAGAATTAGGATTCCAAGGATATCCATCATTGGACAAATAAATACCAAATCGTGATTGATTTCAATTGAATCAGAATCCTTGTTTCCAATTGAGAACCCTCTCTAAGCGATCGCTTAGCGTTTGGTCGAATACGACGCGTCTACTCCCACAATCGCGGAGTATCAACCCGTTCGACTTGAGTTCATTGGGTTAATCAAGCTAACCATTAAATCTAATGATTAATCTCTTTCCTAAGAACGCAATCGCGTATCTCAGATTGAACACCACAATCGCGTGATGCCAAACCGAGTTAGAAAAAGAAACGAATTTGGTTCAAATTGAGGCACAGGTCCTCGGGATTCAACCATGGAATCCTCAACCCTTGGGTTGATTAAAGAAAAGAGGAGAGAGAAAAAACAAAAATTCTATTAATTTCAAAACTGTAAAATTCAAATTCAAACGAAAGATCATCCACAAGGTCCCTACTCTCGCCCTTTTAACCCCTAATCAAGCTGGGCTTCGTGCTCTACAAATCCAACCCAAAATAAAAGGAAACAAAACAAAAATAATGGCTCTGGGCCTCATGTACATTGGGTTCAAAATTATAACTTAAGTCTAATCTTCAAAATAAATTTCCAGCAAAACACATCCATCTTGGGCTCAGGTTTCGACCATCTTTCTGTCCGAATTGGGCTTCAGTAGCTGCAATAGCAATTGTAGACCTTCCTGTTAGCTGCAAAGCGCAACAAGAACGGAGTTAATCGGACATCTGTAGAGTGAGATATGGCCAAAATATGAAAGTAGTGTAAATCTAGAAAATTATGACGAAAATCAATTAAACCCAATTAAAATCTAGAATTCTGATTTGACCCAAAAGAGCTTTATTTAATTCAAATAAAACCTAAAAATACCAACCAAGAGTAATAAATAAGTGTAACAAAATATGTGTTATCAATGGCGTAGGTGTAGGAGTCACCGTAGCCGTATGAGGAGGAGAATCACCCCTCCTATGCTGAGTTCTATCAGCCTTCATCTCAGTCATGAAGGCATGCATCATATACTGATTAGTTTTCATCAGGTTCTCAGACATTGTTCTATTAGCAGCCGTCTTCGCCTGCAGAGCATTCAGAACTGTAGTAATCGGATCAGGCGGTGGAGGATCTGCACCTCGTGTCCCACGGCCGCCACGAATCCTTCTCATGATAAGTGTACATGTAAATCAAAGGAATGAGCTGATCAGACCCACACTGAGGAATCACATATACATTAATCATAAAGAGTTTACAGACAGCTATGCCACACAAAATACAGTCATAAATAGTCAGAGTTCCCTAGTAAACTGCTCTGATACCGTAAAATGTAACGTCTGGCCGCTCCAAGCATCAATGACTATCCCTACACACTAGCACGAGACTTTTCAGCGTGCTTTGTCCTCACTCGCACACTTCCCGGGAAAATTTCCCACGAGGTCACCATCCCCGAATTACGGCAAATCAAGCACGCTTAACTATGGAGTTCTTTCATTCAGGGCTATCGAAAAGTAGATGCATCTTGTTAGTATAAGTAGTACCAATTAATTCTTATAAGCTATCCTCAACTGTGCTGTCCTATACCAGCACAATCTCTGGAATCCCTCTCTTTCGGGTGTTGATTCAATTTATTCATGTACCCCCACCGCTGGAAGTCTGCCAGGAGCCGCTCCTTGTCTGTGCCCTTGCGCACCATGCCCTTACGCACCGGCGATCACTCCCCGACCTCGTCAGCGCCCGGGATGTTACACATTAGTCCTTGACTTGACATGGACACAACCTGCTGACATGACCCTGACCCCTTTTTTGTGGTTAATTACATTTTTGACCAGCAGATTATTCGTGCCCTATCATGTCATTGTTTGATTATTATTGTGAATCGGTGAAAACAATATTCAGTATCTTGTCATGTCAACGCTCATAATAAGTGGGTTGTATCAACATTCAATGGCACCACATCTGCCTTCGTCTTCTTGGTCTGTTCATCCTATGCAGACTTGCTCAAGGTCTGGCATTGTCAAACCTGCGTTGTGTCCCACTTTACTTCTTACTTGTTTAGAACCTACTTCAGCCAAACAAGCCTTGGCCATTCCTTATGAAAATTGCTATGCAGGTTAAGTTTGATGCCATACTTGCTAATCAAACCCGGACTTTGGTTTTTCTCCTTCCTGGTCGCAGTCCCATTGGTTGGAAATGGTTTTTGAGGACCAATGAGAACCCCGATGGCTCCACAAACAAATTTAAGGCGTTTCTTGTAGCCAAGGGGTACCAATAGCAGTCGGGATTAACCTATATATAGACATTCTTTCTAGTGGTCAAACTGGTTGCTATTTACATTATTTTCAGTCTGTCACTAACTAATGGTTGGCCCATCCTGTAATTCGATATGACCTTCCTTAATGGCCTGTTAGAGGCAGAAGTATATAACAGTAGCTCCGGGTTTTGAAGATGCTAACAAGTTTTTAATCTGCAAACTCAACATGGCCTTCTATGGCTTGAAACAGGCACCTTGGACCTGGTTTGAGAGACAAGCACTCTCCTCGGCTTCAGGTTTACTTCCAGCAAATGTGACCCGTCCCTCTTCATTCTTAAGGGCAGCCCTCAGTGTGTTTACGTATTAAACTATGTAGACGACATCATTGTGACTGGTACCTCCTTTCCTCTCATTTAGTAGTTGTCTCCAACCTCAATTTCGTCTTTGCCCTGAAACAATTGGGCTCACTGAATTACTTATTGGGTATTGAAGTTAAACATTTGTCCACTTGCTACATTCTTCTCACCTTAAGGAAATATGTGCGGGACTTGTTGGCTAAAGCTCACATGAGTGATGCCAACAGCATTTTACTACTCGCATGGTTGGTGGCTGCAAACATGGCAGTGAATCCGTGCAAGACCCTCGTGTGTACTGGCCAATTGTGGGGGGAATTTCTTTGTGCCACCATTACAAGATGTTAGTTTATGACTCAGCCGTTGAGTGCATCCCCCTTTATTTAAAGGGAACCTCTATTCTATGCACGTTCTTCTCCATCTGCCTGCCGTGCTACTCTAGCCACCCTCTCTTAGAGGCTTTCATCTCCATCTGCCTACTGCGCTAGGTGTAGCTAGTTAAGCCTGCTGTACTAATTGTAGCAGTGACCCAACTATGATTGCAATTGTCAGTTAGTTACTTACTGAATTCAGTTGAGAAAGTTGTCTCCAGCTGTGCAGCTGAATCTTGAAACTAACAGTTAATTAGTTCAGAAATACAATTTTCAGTTTTCAGAGCCAAGCTCTAGTTTTCTTTCACTTTCCAATTATAGTTTTGTAATTGCATGTTATTGACTGCTTATTTTAACGTCAGGAATGAGAAAACAAGGCTTCTGTTCTGTACAACAGGCATCCTTCTGAGAAAATTGATGGTAAGTTACTCTGGTGTATATTATAATAAGTCTATGCCTAACCTGTTGCATTGCATCTTAATGAGAAGGACCGGTGCAAGATCAACAACAAATATCAAATAATAATATATTTTTCTTTTTTGGATCATTTTATGATTGGTTTTAGACAGAACACAATGACATCATTTGATCCATCAATTTTGTGCTTGCCTGGGATATTTTATAACATTCTTATGGACTAATATAGATTAGAAGGTTTTAATTTATGTATAACATATTAAAGTTTGGTCCTTTGGGATGCATGAATTTACACAAATTTCCATCATGAACTTAGACATGATAGTATGATACCCTTTGAGAGTCTGCAAATTCATAGGAGAAATTCTTCTATGCTCTTATAGTACGACACCTAATCCAAATAAAACATAAAATGTGGTCGTGACTACATAACTATACAACTTGTTGGATTAAGGTTAAAGTATTATGTAATAAATACTTAATTAAATGTCAGCTGTAGAGAATATTACACAAAGCCTTATGCATGAACTTGGACTTCGTCTCTTATGTTCCATAGTCATAATAAAAAAGTTAGTATTTCCAATATATGATCATGATAAAAAGTTAATATGCAACTAAAAAATATTTCCTCCCAAGCAAAATATTGACACATTGTCATACCATTTCACTTCTTTACTTAACTCTATCTCATTAAATATTATAATTACAGTACTAAATATAAACATAATTGTGCAAGTGTCTGCTCAACACTAGGGGTGTTAACGGGCCGAGCCGAACTTTGGTCTTAAAAGGCTAACTCTGTGTTTAAATGTGTCAGCTTGACCAATCCTGTTACCTTTTATAAATATAATTATCAGCCCGTGGCCTGGTTTGTTTACAAAAATAAAAGTCTGGTTTAGCCTGTTTAAAAAAATTAAGACAACAAAAATTTATCCATACAGAATATACAATCAACAACACTAGTAATTCCATAAATATTCATAAATTCAATGTATATCCAAACAGCATAATATAGAATAAAATCATTCAAAACGTCTGTTTAACCAATAAAATGGGGTGAAATGGATTGAGGAGAAAGAGAGGGCTATTACAAATAGTATAAAAAATATAAAATAAAAAAAAATTAATATACTAGGCTACCCTGAGAGGCTCTAAGGCCGAGTTTTTGAATTGGAGCCTTTTTATTAAAGGAGCTTTTATATAAGTTCAAGTCTGGTGCCAACAAACAATTTTAGACATATAAGCTCAGGCCTTTACTACCTGAGCCAAAGATCCCTGAAAGGCCCCTGGTTCGTTTAGCACCCTACTCAACACGTTAGCTAAATGGGTAGGGTTTCTTTTTTTTTGTGTGGTACTGAAAGGTCATGGGTTCGAATCCAAGAAACAACCTCTTTGCAATTATGCAAGGGTAAGACTGCGTACAAGGATTGCTTCCACCCCACACTTGCTAGGTGGGTTTAACGGGTTTTTTTCTTCTTACTGAATGCTGGGGCAGTAAAGTGCCCAAAAGAGCATGAGCTATATATCGTACAGATGAGAATGAGAATGTTATGAGGCATGTATGGACATAGGAGAATATACGAAGGAATGAATGTATAGAAAATTTGAAGATTACTTTCATTTATTAATAGATTTTGTCAAATCCCTAATTATAGGATTCAATCAATTAGGATCAATTTTATTTTTGTTTTTATTTAGGATTGATTAGTTTCCTTTTTTCTTATTTTATTACCTTTTTCAATCACACATGGTGTGTATTTATATGTTTGTCAACTTGCCAAACATTATCGTGTCAATTATCCCTTTAGACCTCGTAAAGAATCTTCCCCTATTACCATCACAGTGATATATGGGGTCCAACCCGTGAAAAAATTATTTCAGGTGCAAAGTGGTTTATCACATTTATCAATGAGCACTCTCGGGTGTGTTGGGTGTACCTCCTTAAGGATAAATCAGATGCCGAGTTCACTTTCAAAAACTTTCATACCATAATCCAAAACCAGTTTCATGTTTCTATAAAAAAAATTCGTGCAGACAAAGACAGAGCATACTTCAACTCTATCCTTGGTGAGTATTTAACTGAACATGGCATTCTTCATCAAAGTTCATGACCTGATATCCCCCAGCAAAATGGTATAGCCAACAGAAAAAACCGTCATCTTCTTGAAGTTTCCCGTGCCCTTATGTTCACCATGAATGTCCCAAAATACTTGTGGGGGGAAGCTGTCATCACTGCCTCTTACCTTATCAATTGTATGCCCTCTCGAGTGCTCCAGTTTCACTCTCCAACTCCTTTCTGGCCATTTCGTCTCTTCCTCCCAAATTATTTGGATGTGTCGGCTTTTTCCATGTTCTTACTCACTAGAGATCCAAACTTTATCCTAAGTCCCTGAAGTGTGTCTTCGTTGGTTACTTTACTACTCAAGGGGCTACAAGTGTTATTCGCCCTCTGCCTTCTCTTTTAGGGGAGTTTTCTGTAGGAGGAGATGAAGATAAATTATGGAAACCTAATGATACCTGTGTTACCATTGCTATTGGAGACAGGCAGAGCTATTCAGCCTTTGGTTTATAGTAGAAGAATCTAGCGAAAGATCCTTAAAGGGTAAATAACCCATAATCTCTAGACTATCAGGATTCTGATTCGAGTTCTAGTTCCAGCAATCAAGCATCTGTATGCCGTGACACAGTTGATCTGCACTTGCATATTGCCCTAAGAAAAAGTACTTGGTCTTCTCATCCTATTTCCCACCATATTTCCTATAAGAAGTCATCTCCAGGTTTCCGTATCTTTAATATCGTCTAGACAGTACAAAAATACCTAGAAACATCCAGGAAGTCCTTGATGATCCAAAGTGGAGAAATGCTGTCTTTGAAGAATTGGATGCCCTGGAGAGGGATGGAACCTGGAAAATGGTGACATTACCGAGAGGAAAAAGGCCGATAGATTGTAAGGTGTTCACTATAAAATTCAATGCGGATAATAGCATAAATAGAAACAAGGCCATGTTGGTTACGAAGGGATTCACCCAGACACATGGAATCAATTATCAGGAGACTTTTGCTCTAGTTGCCAAGGTCAACACAATTCAAGTCCTTTTATCTTTGGCTGCTAGCTTGGATTGGCCTTTACAACAACTAGATGTGAAAAATGAATTCTTAAATCTTGACCTACATGAGGAAGTCTATATGGATCCTCTGCCTGGTTTCAAAAAGGAAAATAGATTGGTGTGTAAGTTGAAGAAGTCTCTCTTTGGTCTGAAGCAATCCCCGAGAGAATGGTTTGAAAAATTTACCCAGGCAGTCAAGAGGAAAGGCTTTCTCCAAGCACAGACCGATTATACTCTCTTCCACAAACACTCCTCATGTGATAAAATTGCTATCCTTATTGTTTATATTGGATTCCTTGAAGAAGTATCTAGCTGATCAATTTGAGTTGAATGATCTTGGAAACCTTAAGTATTTTCTTGGAATGGAAGTGGCTCAGAATAAGTTTGGAATCACAATTACTAAGAAGAAGTATATCCTTGACCTATTGCAGGAGACAAGCGTGCTAGGGTGCAAAGCAACCGAGACCCCTGTGGAACCCAACACTTAGTTGGGAATTGAAGATGGAAAATAGGTAGATAGGGAACAATATCAGAGATTGGTTGGAAAAGTGATTTACTTATCACACATTTGACCTGACATTGCCTTTGCAGTAAGCATGGTTAGCCAATTCATGCACTCACCTGGGGAGAAACACTTGGGGTGCTTTCCACAGGACCCTTAACTACCTCAAGAACACTCCTGGTAGAGGACTATTCTTTAGAAAGGGGTTCAATAAGTTGATTGAAGTCTACATCGACGCAGATTGGGCATGTTCATCAATAGACCGAAGATCTACTTCAGCCTATTGCACCTATGTGTGGGGTAATCTTGTGACTTGGAGGTTTAAAAAATAGACTGTAGTTGTAAGAAGTAGCGCTAAGACAGAATTTTGGGTTCTAGCTCATGGAGTTTGTGAGAGAATTTGGCGGAGAAGACTTTTATTCCCTATCAGTTATACTATATTGCGACAACAAGGCTATTGGCAGCATTGCTCAAAATCCTATTCACCATGATAAGACAAAACACGTGGAACTTGACCGCCACTTCATTAAAGTAAAGCTAGATGATGGAATTGTGTGTATGATGTATATTCTTACCAAAGAGCAAGCAACAAACATCTTTATTTAAGGTCTACATGGACCAGCGTTTGAAGATATAACACCCCCAAATTTCTTACAGTTTAAAAGTATTCCTACAATAGTGGTATTGTCGAAAATCCCATTTAATTATTTATTATGATCATAGAAATATTGCGAAAGTTAAAATAAAGTCAATTTGGAGAAATGTTACCTCCGCATTTGTAGTAGGGACAAGTGCAAGTCTAAATTTATCATACTCCAAAATATATTAATTATATATATTAAAACTTCAAAACCTAAAGCTAGAGTCTAAGGTTTATCTTAAAATATGTCTTATACAATTATTAAATTCCAAGCATAAAATTTATAATGTTTGGACCTAGCTTGAAATGTCTGATGCGTTATCTTCACCATCCACTACTAGCCCCAACCTTCAAAACTTGTTTCATTGAGGGTCTTTGCTCCCCCGAAGGATTATTGCAACACACAAACAATCAGCAAAAAGCTGAAAATCCCAATCCAAAACACAATAAAGATAGTTATAACTCGATTAATAATTATAATCAACGCAAGCATCAATCAAGACATTTCATTTCCATTTTAATTTTATTTAGTTTCTTTTAGTGGGAAGAGAACCCTGGTAGACCTGGGAAACCTTGTTGCCAGCCTATCCACGTGACCCAAGAAACCCTGTTGCCAACCATGTATAATCAAATTTGGTCATCATCAAAACATTAAAAATTTGAAATCCTTAATGTGCACACCTCTCCACCAAAGTTGTTATTAGTACCTCGGGAAACCTAGGTAACACTTTGGGAAGAACGTATGAACATGATTTCACATCATATACCATCATAAGCATAAAGCCCAAAGGGTTTGTTCATCACTTTCAGGTGGTACCATCCCAGAAGTTATCTTCCCGCTATTATCTTATCACACACAAATTAGGGAAATACAATCTTTTCACAAATCACATACTTGAAAAATTTCTCAAAGAGTATCACGATTTCCACACCAATTATCCAAAATTTATCAAAAGTAAGATTCCTATCACACATAATCAATTATTTAGCATCTATCGGAGCTATGTTTCATATCACAGATAATGAGTTATCCAACATCTATTAGAGGTAAGATTCATGCCATATATAATCAATTATCCAACATCTATCAAAAGTAAGATTCATGCCACACATAACCAATTAACACTTCAAGCTATTATCATTAAGGAATTAGGATTATATCCAAGAAAATTCATATATAATTAACCTGTGATTTTCTAGAGATTAAGATTAAACCCAACAAAATTTCCAACAACATTCATATGTAATTAATTATGATTTTCTAGAGGTTAAGATTAAACCCAATAAAATTCCCAACACAATTAACATATAACCAACCTATGATTATCTAGGGAGTAAAATTACGCTATCCAAATCCATTGAAAACTAACATAAGAATTTGAATTACACTTCCAAAATTCATATAAGACTAACCTACGGATTAAGATTACCCGTAACAAATTTATATATATAGAACCTAGGATTACCTGATATCCGTGTTCAAAGGCTTCTCATGAGAAGAGTGATTTACAAGGGAAAGTGTAGTTGGTAGCTAAGGGGAAAACTAGTTGCAACACAGTTGGGAGAAAGGAAGAAAAAAGAGAAGGAGAGATGCCGGGAATTAGAGAGAATATGAAAATGATTTGATTTATTAGGTTAAACTCCTATTTATAGATGAGGTTTTGTAACGGAAAAAATGGCCTTAATTGCAGGTATTATTAAAACTGTTAAATTATTAATGATAATCATAATTACTTTAATTATCATTAATTCATATCTTAACAGTTACATAATTAAATAATAAAAATAAATGATAACTTAAAATAAATGATGAGCGTTACAAATTAAAATTACCATCAATTAACGTTACAATTTTAGAATCAAATAATGACATACTAGTAACGGTTAATGGCAACTAGTGGCAACATAAAAATACATCAATGCCTATTCCTATAACACCACCTTATGCCAAAGTCAATATGTCTAATATCATATAATGATATACATAAGGGTATACACCATTATTATTTATTATTAATAATTTTTTTCGGGTTATTACAAAAGACCTGATTGGCAAGTTGGGAATGATCAACATATACCTCCTAACTTGAAGGGGGATTGTAGAAAATCTGTAGATTGTTTCCATTTATTGAGAGATTTTGTCAAATCCCTAATTGATAGGATTCATTCAATTAGGATCGATTTTATTTCCATTTTTATTTAGGATTGATTAGTTTCCTTTTTTCTTATTTTATTTCCTTTTTCAATAACACATGGTGTGGATTTATGTAGGTATCCTCTCCTTATTGCAATACAATTTTCAATGAAACCTTTTCTTTTAGAATTCTCACAAAATGTATGAGAGAGAAAGTAGGAATAGCACCTATTGGGAAAAAGATAGTACAATTGCATGTAAGATGATTTTGCCATGTTAGAAGAAGACCAGTAGAAGCCCTAGTATGTGGACTTGATTAGATGGGGGATAACCAAATAGTTAGAGGTAGAGGAAGACCAAGAAAAACTCTAAATGAAACCATTATAATTCATAATTGACTTAGATCTAAAGGCCTCTTCAAAGACTAGGTTTTTGACAAACACATTGGTGTCGACGTTTCGTTCGATCCATTTAGCTGACCCCACCTGGTGGGAGTAGGCTTTTGTTGTTGTAGTTCCAGTTCACTTGCAATAATGGTTTTTAATTATAATTTATGAGTCTTCTTATGGTTCTGCGGATAATAATGTAGGTGCCTATATTAAGTGTGTTAGTGATGATTATTTCGAGAAAAAATGACTGATTTCTACGCAGATCAAAAAAGTAAAATATCTTTACTTAAACATAACGACTTTGTTGGTTTTTAGTTTATGGTTATTAAATGACGTCACATGGTGATGCTAAACATGTAAACAGTTATTTAAATGTTTTTGCTTATTTTGTGTTGATTTAGCCACACCAAGGTTCTAAGATAAATCTTGGTTATCTAAGAAAATGGTTTGAAAATGAAATGTTGAATTTTTAAGAGCTCTTGGTTGTGTAGCAGTATCCTAGAAGCCTCTATAAAGAAATAGTTTGCTGTTTACTTTTTTGTCATAATTTTTGTATTAGGACATCGTGAGCATAACAAGCCCTTAAGTATTTTTTTGCTATGCTACATATTGTAGTTATTAACTTATTTCTAGCATATTGTAGTGACATTTTCCTACATATATAACAATACTGTTTTTAAATCGTTATTAAGCTATATTTTCTTTTCATTTGTTGAATTTTAAATTTTGTTTTCCTTTTTTAAATTACAGGGGGACCGAAACTTGTCTGGCATCACTCACGTTATAGTTGATGAAGTTCATGAGAGGTCTTTATTGGTAAGTTGAATCAATTAAGATGTTATGCAAAACATTTGTGTGAATCTTATGCTGAAATGCAGATCTCATTATTTAGGGCTTGGCTAATAGATGTGTGAAGTTCTTTGTAAGATATCTTTGGATGCCATGCATAAGATTTTAGGTTACTTTATGAACACGTTGATGATACCATTGATAATTGTTGAAATATGTTTTAGGTAGGGAAAGGGGAAAAGAGAAAAAGAAATACTTTTAATAATATCCTTTTGTGTATATTGATGTAATACAAAATGATGACCCAATAGTCCAATTTATACAAATAACTAGGTAAAGTACTATTGTAGAATCAGTAGTACGAGCCCAGACTCACTAACACAATAAGACTACTAACCCTAAAATAATATAATGAAAAGATACACTAAAATATTTTAAGATACAATGAATATATTATGAAATATTTTCTAGATATTCTAACTATTTGAAATATAACCATTCTCCTAACAGCTTAAGCTTTTGGGAGAGTTGGTTGCTTGACATGATATCAAAAAGCCTCTAATGACCAAGTAGTTTGGAGTTTGATCCTTAATGCTCCCGTTCTTCTAAAAAATATTTAATTGTTGAACTTCTTAGCATAGGTAATTGGTTCTGTACATTGTCCATGCTTTAAGCTTGTTGGGCTCTTGTGTGAGGGGTGAGTTAGAAATATAATATAAAACCATTCATCTATCTTCACCTAGGAGCTTAAGCTTTGGGGTTGAATTACATGACACTAATACTGCTTTAAGCTTGTTACAAATGAACACTTTATAAAAGAAAACAACATAAATATAAAGTGAGCTCCATAAACATGGCTGAAAGCCAACTCCAAAGATGTTGAAGAGATGAGTATTACTGGAGAGACAACTTAGCATGGCGACTGGAATGATCATGAACCTTATCGAAATTTTCTGATGAACAATCAAGCACAACAAGGCCCAAACTTTTTTCAAACTACATTTGGACGCTTTAAACAACAGAAAATTTTTGGATACCCAAAAACATGAAAATTAAATCTGGGACTGGTTGAGGCATGGGCAACATAGGTAATCTTTGGAATGCGGCAAGAAAAGTCAGCACTTTTATAATCATTTGACTGCTGCAATGATTGTCGGCAGAAAGAAATATCACCATTGGAATGATCATTGGCCTGAAGTGAACAGCATGACAAGCATTGACTGGTTTGGGTCACATAAGGGAATGGGGCCAAGTAGCAGCCAAACAATGGAGTGTACAGGTAAACAACAATTCAAACCATGTAATGGAAGCTAAAACGAAGAACAAAAGAGGAGATTAGCACCAAAAACAGCAAACTCAACGGGAAGAAGTCATAGATCAGAGTACAAAAGCCAATAAGCAAACCACAATATACCTGAATGCCTTTAAGTAAATGTACATGACAACCCAGTGCACGATTTGACAAAATAAGGGCTAAACTTGGTAGAGAACACGGCGATGAGTTGAACATTGGTGACACAGGTGGAAAACCTCGCTGGACGTGTCCTCAAACACGATTGGAAGGAGGATTGTGGGCACCGAATCATCAATCTTATGTCTGGACTTGGAGCGTCAATCTTAAGATAGGTGAAAAGAGTAACCAAAGAAGGTGCTCCAATGTTTAGGGGACTCAGCCATGGTTGTTGAATCGCAATACGTATCGTGAATCGTTCGGCTTCTTTTTTGTATCGTGAATCGTATCGAATCGTAAGATTCAGAAACAAATTAAAAATAACTTAAAAATATATAAAATCATATAAATCCAAATTAAAAAAAAATCTAAATACCAAAATCCATAAGTAACCAAATCTAAAACCAGTTATTTCTCATATTCATTAAATTTCAAGACTAATATTATCACTATTATCACTATCAGGATCTAGTATTGGCATATCTTGTCCTTCATCCTCTCCATTAGTAGAGTCATCTGACTCATCTCCCATATCTTGTTCAATAATTTGAGATCCTTTTCTGTTATCATTCATGTTGACATCCTCTTGTATTAAGATGCCTTTGCCTTTATCATTCCTATCATCTTGAAGATTTCGAGGACCTAAAAAAAAATATACATAATGTAAATAAATATATTAGATAAGGTGTTTGATTAAAAGAAATATTATATATGCAAATATACCTCTCTTTCTCTTTTTGCTTTGGTCTCCTTCATCAACGTTGAAGCACTCATGAACATCCATCCAAGATTCCTCATCCATTAGGCAAGGCTCCTCTTGCTCAGTAATCCATTCCTCGTCAGAATCTAAATCTGATAAGCAGATAGGATCATATGTGTCTCCTTTTTCCTCCATTTGTTTTTGCCTAATTTCAAGTTGAAGGTTGTATTTAACAAACACAAGAGCATTCAACCTTTGTTGCTCTAAACGGTTTCTTCTCTTTGAGTGAATTTGATCAAACACACTCCAATTTCTCTCGCACCCTGTAGCACTGCAAGTGAGGCTTAGGATACGAATAGCTATTGTTTGCAACTCTTTGCAGTCGTCTCCAAAACTATTCCACCATAAAGCTAGCAAAAAAAATATAATTGATAAATAAATATTTGGTTAATGACTTAATTTTTAATTTTAAAAATATCAAAACATAATTTAATCAATACACAAAATTCGATGATTACCAGGTTGCTTCCTAGCTCTAGTTGCAATTGCTAAACTATTTCCAAAGAGTCCTTCAGCCCTGTCAAATTTCTCAATTTGGGAATCAATTGTGATCCTTGTTTCAATATCAGGACACATCTTCTCCAATGTCTTCCATAAGCCAGTTTTAACCTCACGATCTGGGTTGAACTTTGTGTCATAGTGGAACCTATATAATTATTATAAATTTAGAATAAGGCTTAATAATAAATCAAATATAAAATACAAAGAATTTTATATAAATAAATAAATATAAAGAACCTATACTTACTTTGGATTAAGAAAATAGGCGGCTGCATGAAGAGGCCTATGAAGTTGTAAATCCCAACGCTTGTCAATGATTTCCCATACATCCTTATATCTCTTTTCCTCATGATTAAAACTCTTTGCTATTTCTTCCTTTGCTCTATCCATAGCCTCATAAATGTATCCCATTGCAGGTTTTGAATCACCATCCACAAGTCTAAGAACTTTCACAAGAGGAGACACAATTTTCAAGCAATAATGTATTGATTTCCAAAACCTTTTATCAGCCAAAACAACATTTTCTGCAAATTTGGCTTCCGGCCTAGAGCAATAAGCACTATTAACCCATTTTTCAGATGTAAACATAGATCGAAGTGCAGTCTTTTGTTTCAAAATTGACTGCATTGTCAAATATGATGTAGCAAACCTTGTTATTGCAGGCCTAGCTAACTCTCTACCTTTGGAAAAGGTTCTATACAAATTCAACACCCATGTGTGCCTATAAATGAAAGTTGTAATTTTTTTTGCTTTCCAAATGGTATTATAGAACACTGTAATGCCACCAATATCTTCCAAAATCAAATCAAGACAGTGGGCTGCACAGGGTGACCAAAAGAGTTGCTTTCTTTTATCCATCAACTTTTGTCCAGCAGATACAAGGGCTGAAGCACTATCTGTCACTACTTGAACGACATTCTCTTCTCCAATTTCTATCACCATCTCATCAAGTAATTCAAACATTTTTTCAGCATCTTTAATAAAGCTGCTTGTATCAACAGATTTTATAAAAACAGTCCCTCTAGGACTATTAACAAGAAAATTAGTAAGAGATCTACCCTTTCCATCAGTCCATCCATCTGACATCAATGTACAACCAGTTTTCTTCCATTCCAACTTAAATTTATCCAAACTAGTATGGACAAGATCAACTTCTTTCTTCAAATATGACACCCTCACTTCATGATAAGTTGGTGGTTTTAAGCCTCTACCATATTCACTAATAGACTTCACCATATTAATAAATAGTGGACTCTTAACTAAATTAAATGGCAATGCATTGCCATATATGCATCTACAAATATCTCGAACCACCAAATCTCTATCCTTCACCATTGAATTTATAGTTTGTTGTTTCATAGCAGATGAGCCACTTCCACTTTTTCCTTTTATCATAAAACTATCCATGCTCCCTTTTTTTTGTGAATCTTTATCATCGAAGCACTCTAGTTCATCATCATCTCTTGCATCCTCTAATATTTTTTTAAATAGATCCCTTATCTCTTCCGGCACTTGTTGGCATGGAGCAACTTCTTTGTGTGTTCCAGCTAGATGGTGCTTCATTCTAAATGTTCCTCCCCACATTGTTTTGGGACAATAGTTACATTTAACATTCAACCTATTCGCAAGGGATTTACAATGATCCCAAGTTATATCCTTCTGTTTTTGGGATTTCTTCTTTGGAGCCATTTTTATTACTGTAAAAGAGAGAAAAAAAAATCAAAGGCTACTTACGTACTATTTAACTTCACAGTAAAAATAAAATAAAACTATAAAGGCTAGTTGTTAGAGAAAAGAATTAGTAGAACCGATTATTCATAAAATGGTTCGGTTTTTTTTTTTTTTTTTGAACTTTTTGTACACCTCTGTTCAGAACCCTCCAGATTGTTGAATTCTGTTGCTAGCTTGCCAAAGTAACCAAAAGCTTAAAGATACATCTTTTGTGAAAAATATATTAGGTAGGTCCGTAGGTGTCTTCAGCTAATGCACTAATACTCAATTGAATTTATTCACTATTTAAATGAAAAAGGAAATAGCACTTTCATTAGGCAATAACACTTTCATTCAGCAATAGGCAATAGCACTTTCAATTTCAACATGACAGTGACACATACACAAAAAAGCTGATTTGAAATGTGTACGTGTCTTATAAATAGAAACAATAATCTATTTATAAGACACATCCTCTCATAGTCTCATGCATTTTAAATTGAACGACTTCAGCAAGCACTGTGTCTGTAATATTTTAATATATTTACAATTTACAAATTCCAATCACAAATCAAATCACCCATTTCAAAAATAATACCCGTACTCCTTTGCCTTCTGCAAGTCTTCTTCTACACAGGGTCTGCAAGTCTTTTGAGCGCTACTCTTCTGCAAGTCTGCAAGGCGTTTTCTTTTCTCCTCTGCAAGTCTGCAAGGCGTTTTCTTTTCTCCTCTGCTTCGTGTTTCCTTTTGTTTTTTAAATGGGATTTTGAATCCCTGATTTTTCTGAAGCAACCTTTCATATACATGCCGTTCCATGCGACTGTTGAGGTGTTTTTTTTAAAACGACTGTTGAGTGTTTTTTTTAAATTTTTTTTAAATTTTTTTTATATTCTGAATCGCAAAAAAATTTCGATTCACGATTCGGTTGCGAATCGTTCGATTCTACGATTCCAAATCACGATTCATGCCAAAAACGATTTGCTATTGCGATCCGTATCGATTTGACACTGTATCGTATCGTATCGCACGATACGTATCGCGTATCGTGCGATACTAACAACCATGGACTCAGCAACGAAGTAGTGATGTTCAAGTCACAGATGATGGTACTGCTTTGGTGTAGTTGAGTCACGGGTCAAATTTTTAGATATAGACCCAATCATGGCTCGATTATGTCTGGGCCTACTCAATATTTAAACAAAAGTATAAATTTAGATATTATGTGTGGTTAAGTCATAAAATTTTAAAAGAATCTAAAACTTAAGATGTTTTACAGCATAATTTTTTTATAAAAAATTATATGAACCTTAAAATTTATCAGTTATCACCCTTCTTTTAAAAAAATTGCCTCAAAATATTATCTGGCATCAGATTAGGCCAACCGGAAGTGTGACCCAAACCCAGCTTGAAAACTCATCATGTCCAATTTTCATGACCTGAATGTGCTGCCCAATCAACATTTTCTCCAGACTGGGTGATCGTGGCCAGGTAAGGAACCCCCCAGCCCAAACCCGTACAATCAGAATACAAAGCCTTTATTAGGGTTCAAGAACTGAAAGAAAATGATCGAACAGAGAGGAAAGACAGAGAGATAGAACATGAGATTCAGAATCTGATAATTGAAGGAAAGTTATCTACATTGTGGAGGGATAGACTGTAATTTCCTTTTTCAAACAATCCTTTTTAGTCCATTTTGCCTATATTTATTTATTTATTTTTCTTTTCCCTTAATCTTTTCTTGCTTTTTATTTGGGTTCATCGACCGCTGACCCCAACTAATTTGAGATAAAAGTGATGTTGATGTTGTATAGGGATCTGTACATATATAGTGAGAAGTATGTCCATAACTAACTAGCTGACAGCTGGAATGGCTGTCAATTATTACAAAATATAATAGAAGCTTATCATAAACGAACTGCTCTAGCATTGAATTTACACCTTTATATTTTATAGTCAAATTTGACACCTCTCCCGTGAGCTAATGATTTTTGTAAGAGATATATACAACGATTAAAGTAGCATCACCCACCAGCTTAAACTTTTAGGTTGAATTGGCACATTACTTGGTATCAGAGCCTTGGTGTCACGGGTTCGATCCTCACCGCCCCTCATTTAATTAATAATTAATTGAGTCTTGTGGAATTTCTTAGCACAGATAGGTGGCCCTGTGCATTATCCACCCGTCAAGCCCAATGGACTCTTGTTGAGGGGACATGTTAGAGATATATGTAAAGAACCAATTCAACCCAAAAGCTTAAGCTATTGAGTGAGGCTACATTAATGGTTTTATATATCTCAACACGCCGCCTCACACGAGAACCCATTGAGCTTGAAGAGTGAACAATGCACAGGCCCACCTACCTGTGCAAAGAAAGAAATTCCACTAGAAAGAAAGTGGGGACAGTAAGGATCGAACCCGGTACACTGAGGCTCTGATACCATGTAAAGAACCAATTCAACCCAAAAGCTTAAGCTGTTGAGTGAGGCTACATTAATGGTTTTATATATCTCAACAATATATAAAATCATTAATGTAGACTCACCCACCAGCTTAAATTTTTGGGTTGAATTGGTTCTTTACAATTTTATTTCTTTTTATGCTGTCAGGGGGATTCTTGATGTTCCATTTATGAACTATTCTATACTAATAATCTTTTTGTTTTTTAAAAATATGTTAATCTCATATATTTGCTTTTTAACTTTTTACAGGGAGATTTTCTTCTAATTGTTCTAAAGAATCTAATTGAGAAGCACTCTACTGAAAGCCCTACAAAACTGAAAGTCATTCTAATGTATGTATTTCTGTGTCTAATTCTGTTCGGACAATTAGTGCACTACACTTGCTTTTGTTTATTTCATTTCATCTTGAAATCCTTTTTGTCTTATATGCTACTATCATGATCAGGTCCGCAACTGTTGATTCAAGTTTATTTTCAAGATACTTTGGCCATTGTCCTGTACTTACTGCGGAAGGCAGGACTCATGAAGTGACAACATACTTTCTTGAGGATGTATATGATCAGATTAATTATCGACTTCCTTCAGATTCTCCAGCTTCTTTAGCAAATGAAACATTTTCCAAAGGCCAGGTAGGTAATCTATGGCTGGCTTAAGATTACTGTTACTGAACTGGGATTTGACCTCTTTATTAACTATTCTTGTTACTTTTGTTGAATTGGAGCATAATTTATCTGATTTCCACATGTTAACCATTCCCACTAACCTTTGTCTAATTCTGTGGCTTAGAATTATATAAATGTTTGAAAATTGATATAGCATCATTGTATGACCCATTTGCAGAACTAACGTTATTTCTGAAAAAAAAATTGAACGATGATTCTTACATAAAGAATTGAAATAGAATTTTTACCAATTGCCCTTCCTCTTATGAAATATTGCGTTTTAGAATTTGCAGAGGGGTCCTGTGACAAATAGCAGGGGGAAGAAGAATCTAGTCTTATCTGCATGGGGTGACGAGTCTGTCCTTTCTGAAGAAAATTTTAATCCAAATTTTGTTCCTAGCCATTATCAATCGTACAGTGAACAAGCCCAACAAAATCTGGTAAGTCCCTTTTAAGATGTGAAACTTAACTCCTTAATTTGTGATTTTATTTTGACCATTCCAAAGTTTTTTTTATTTAGAAAAGATTGAATGAAGATGTCATTGATTACGATCTTCTTGAAGATCTTATATGTTTTATTGATGAAACTTGCGGTGAGGGTGCCATCCTCGTATTCTTACCTGTAAGACTATTTGGTTGTCCTTTGAGCTTGTATGTTTATCTGTATTTTCTAAGTATGAATAGTTATATATATTTTTTAATTAAACTTCGACATGCCAGGGAGTGTCTGAAATAAACCTATTACATGACAAGTTGGTGGCCTCATACCAATTTGGTGGTCCGTCTTCTGATTGGGTTATTCCTTTGCATTCATCAGTTGCATCAACTGAACAGAAAAGAGTGTTTTTACGCCCTCCAGGAAATATGCGAAAGGTGATTTTGATCCATATAATTTCATTCTTACAATTAGCATTATAGCCCTTCTCCCCTATATCTCCCTTTATTCCTTTATTTTATTTCACTTTTTTTCTCTCTCTAGTTTTCTTCTGTTACTAATTTATTTATTTTCTTCTTTTTCTTTATTTTATCTCTTTATTTCTTTAATTTTTTTCTCTGTATTTGTATTTTTACTTTTTTATTTTTTCTCTCGTGTTATTTTTTCTCTAATGTATTTTTGTTTTCACTTTATTTTTTTTATTTTGCTTCTGAATTGTTTATTGCTATGTTTTCATTTCTAATGTTAGTTATAGTTCTTTTAATTTTATTTTTATCCTTCAATTTTTTCGTACTTTTCATTAGGGTTCATCTGTCACTGACCCCAACTAATTTGGGATAAAGTTTATGTTGATGTTGAATTAGCATTATAAGTCACTAATCTAATTCTAACCCTTTATTTCATATTAGTAGTTGCAATTCTCAAATTAAAAGAAGTTATGACAATTGGGCTTTTGATGATGTAATCCGCTGTTATTAAAAACTTTCTTTTTAGGCATATTTAATTTGGTCTGGTTTGTAAGTGACCTATAATAGGCGTACATCAATGAGAAGAGACAAAGAATGATTAGGTTTTATTTAATGAAATTTGCAAAGGTATTCCTTATTCATGTTATTAGTTGAACTAGGTTTTCGTGCTACACGTTGTTAGAGAATAATATAAACCATTAAAAATGCCATTACTCAACATTTTAAGGTTTTTGGTTGAAATGGTTCTTTACATGGTATCAGAGCTTCAGTGACCAGATGGTCATGAGTTCGATCCTCACCGGCCCCCACTTTCGAGTGGAATTAAAATAAGCACAAGGTAAACAAAAAAATTGAGCCTGTGCAATATCCACACTTCAAGCTCGAAGGGATCTTGTGTGAGGGGGTGTGTTAAAGAATAATATAAACCATTAAAAAGGCCATCACCCAACACCTTAAGATTTTGGGTTGAAATGGTTCTTTGCACATGTAAATTGAGGTCTTGTCAATCAAGTTACGAGCTTGGTTATGGCAATGTAGCTTAAGGCATCGGTTCTTGTTCCTTTTGTGAGTAAGGGTCGTGGTGACAACCACCAAGAGTTCTTGTCTCATCGAAAGCTAGAGTGTGAGGAGTTTCATATTTTTGGTATCCCCACTCAACCTCTTCCGGTTACCTTATCCTCAGAGTATAGCCCTAAGACTAGCTTCTATTGAAACAGAGGATGCATTGGACCACTGTCCTTGGAAGAAGGGTGAGACTAATTCTCCTTCGAGGGGGAGGCAGTTTTCCCTCTGAATCTCAAAGAAATCCAAGAATTTGCTTTGGCCAAAGTTTGAACCATGATCAAAACAAACCCTTGGGCGCTCAGCTTGACAACTGAGCTATCCTTGGGGGTTAGGAGTTTCATACTTTACCTATCTTGAATTTGACTTGGAAAATCCGATTTGAGCAAATTTGATGTGGCTTTTGTGCAGGGTTCACATGAAGAGGCTATGAACAGCCTATAGTTCAATATATGAAATAAAATAATAAACTATATGCAACAATTATTTCAACTCTCCTCGACAAGCTCGAGTATATAATTCATTTGCACCAAGCTTGATACAAGTGTAGCTAACTTGAGGGCCTCTAAGAGACATAGTAAATACATCTTGTCCATATCTTCTCTTGGATAGAGTGACAATCCATCTATGTGCATATGGTCCATTGACAGAAAACTTGGTTGGAGTATTGTATTTCCTTCTGATTATAAACGGTTAGGTAGCAGAATAAATAGGGAAGACTGTAAACTAATCAAGGAACCTGAAAGAGTGAAAACCTTTAAATAACCAAAACAGAAATGATATGACATACAAGAAATCCCTAAAGAATGCAGACAAATAAAGCTCCAGCTAGCAGGACTTAAATGCATAATTTATTAACTGTGGCTGTTCCTATTAATTAGGAATTATATTTCCTTTTAGTCTCGAACCAATATTGTAACGCCCCGTCTGTAGCCGGTTAATTAGCATTCATATGATAGTTAGCGCAGCAAATTTTTAACATAATAAATGCGGAAGTTAACTTTTTCATTTTCCTTATGTATTAAAATTTTCATCACTTCTTTGGTCAAAATAAAACGGGCAGCATTTTGTCTGTATTTCGGACCACTGGGGATAATTTCCACCATGATAATTTCTACCTGATTAACAATTTAATATAATTCAGGCATAAATCATATTGCCTATCCAATCATGGCATAGGCTATCCCATACATAACAGGTCTCAAAATAATGTCCATAGAGCTACTTACATGATTACATCAACCAACCAAAAGAGATGTAATTAAATAAGTAACCTAGACATATGCAGGCATAACTAACAAAGTAGATAAACTATCAACATGGCATAGACACCACCTATGCTCACAAAAAAAAAAATACATGGCATGTACATCTCAATAGAATAACATCATGTCATGTACAAAATGAAATGTCAATCAAAACATGACTATCAGGTCAGATAGTATCTCTCCTCCGGCCTCTTGCCGCGCAATGCTTCGGCACCATCAGCTATTGTACCTGAAATGGTAATCCCTATAACGTGGAGTGAGAAGATAATCTCAACAAACTAGGGGTCCTTGGAGGGCTCTTCCACCCCCAGGTTCACTTCAGGCATAATATCATAGTATAAAAGCATATATGCATCAAAATATGTATATCAATGAATATGTGCAATAATAAATCCTACTAGTCAGAGAATATGACAAGTATGCATTACACAAGGAAACACAGTCTTGCCACATACCATATGAGGAAACACTGTCTTATGCCTCACACAAGGAAACACCGTCTTGTGTGGCACACAAACATACATACATATATATGCAACATATAACAAATCATTTTCAACATACCATATCAAAGAACCATCGTCCCTCGGAGTCTTGTGGAACAAACGAGTGATTAACCTCAAGGACCGAAAGCTTACACCTGTAGCTTTCACCTAAGCTTGCTTCAAGCCCAAACAAGGTGCTCCACAAATACTTGAGTATCAACTCAATTTACAACACCTATTTCAAGGTGAATTATCACAATTAATCACATATTCGTTTAGTAAGTCTCATGTCAAACCATTGTTAATACTTACCTTAATCCAAAACAATCAAGAGCTTTGGTCAATGTCCATAGCTTGATCTAATCCATGCTCTTGCTCCACTAGTCCACTTGGTTTCACACTGTAACCAATGAACACATATCCATCAATATTCACATTTATAAACTCAACGTGAATCCTACACAAAACCAAGGTTTTCACACTTTAATATCACTTGATTTTGAGTCCAATTTATCAAAGTGTTCTAAATGGTGATTTCATAATTTTTCCTTTTACGGGAACCAATCCCAAACATATTTAACAAAGGGACTCACCTACAAATCACCCTCCAACTACTCAAGCCATCAGATTTTTGAAATTGACATATAGCCAAAAAAACCATGATTTTCTATAGTGAGCTAAATGGTGATTTCTTTGGGTTGTCTTTCATCCAGAAGCAATCCTAAGCATATTTAACAAAGGAAGCTATAGCCAAATCACTCTCTAACTATCCGTACCATCAAATCCCAATTATACAACCCTAAACCATGATATTTTCATGAGAATCCACTCATCCAACATCCCAACATGCCATTTCTACTCTTGTATTTAAGATTTATCTATCATTTCATTAGAATCCCCAATTTATAAACCCTAATCATGTTATTCTCAAAGAATCCCACAATGGGGGGTTAGAGTATCTTACCCAAGCTTCTAGCGCCAAGATTTCCTCCCTTCCAAGCCATGTCCGAAAATGGCTCCAAGTTGTTCTCTTTCTTTCTTTCAAACCACTCACAAATGAAGAAGATGGAAGGCGTGTGAAGGAGATGAAGATTGAGGTTGAACAATCTTGTTTCTAAGGGAATAGGTTGAAGAAATGGAAGAGATGAAGTGAAACTCTCCCATGCCCCATTTGAGCACAGTCGCGGGTGAGAAGAGAGAATGAGAGGGATTTGAGTGCTTTTGGTACTTAAGTGGTTTCAAACTAACCCAATAGGTATAAGCTTATCAATCCTGCTCACTTATCTCTCAATCCAACTTTACCATTGATCTACAATATTTTTGTGGTATTATTTACCATTTTACTTTTAACTTTCAGGTAGCTTTGCCTACCCACATTTTTACCCCCTTAAATGTTATTTTTAATACTTTTTCACCAAAGTGACTTTATTTCTTCTCTTATACTTTCTCTCTAATTATTCTTCAATATTATGATAAAATCATTAGTCCACAAGTACATGTGAGGGTTATTATAAATATCCATGCTTGGCGGTAAATTTTAATCATGCCTAGCTTGGATCTTAGGTTCTCATAAGTAGGCCTTGGAAGTGCTTTAGTTAAAAAGCATGTTGTTTAATGGCATGAGGGTGCGTGTTCGAGTCGGAATTGAATTTATCTTTTTTTAAACGAAGTGGCGATTGATTTCTACATGTTTGCTTTTCTTAGAATATCATAGGTGATTCCGAAATATCATTGTAATTAATATCCGCAATAATATTGTAAAGAACATTGGGATACACCACCTCAAAAGCTAGCTCAAAAAGGTGGGAGTGTCCAAGACCTTATAAACTCCACATTAGTTGCACATACAACCAATGTGGGACTATATATCTCAACACGCCCCCTCACACGAGAGCCCATTGGGCTTGAAGAGTGGACAATGCAACAGGCCCAGCCTACCTGTGCTAAGAAACGCCACAAGAGAAAGTGGGGGGCGGCGAGGCTCTGATACCATGTAAAAAACATTGGGATACACTACCTCAAAAGCTAGCTCAAAGGGTGGGAGTGCCCAAGACCTTATAAACTCCACATTAGTTGCACATACAACCAATGTGGGACTATATATCTCAACAAATATATATATATATATATATATATATATATATATAGAGAGAGA